AACAGTTTATAAGATAGAACAGTAAAAACAGAAAAAGTATGATAATCTTCTAAATAGCAAGCACTATTGAAGTGGATATATAGTATAACAAGCATACAGACACCAACGTCCAGGTTCAAATTATCTTTCCATTTAGCTCAACTGCTAACCCAGTAGAATCTAAAAGAAAACAACCATTACAAAAATTAACACATGCTGAAAATTTGTGAACCATATAATTATTTTTAACACCATTGTCATTTATTTCAAAACAATAGCAAAAGTAATGAACATTACCTATATTTCATATGAATGGTGAAGCTCCATTGTTAACAAGTGCTGAACTGAGCCCTTCACAGTGGAATCTCTGAAATCAGATACAAACGAAAAAATAATAACATTTATAATTACTTTATTGAAATTATATTCATTTGGGGTGATGGTATTTATTACGAGTCATCATGCACATAAATGGCAAAGAATACATTGAAGAAGTTATTTTTTACTTTGATGTAGCACTACAAGAGGTACCCCAGTTGCAGCAGCACATAAATATGCACCACATTGTTGTGCATTCATTTCCATTATTACTACAGCATCTGACCATATCTAGCTGCACTATCTTTCAATGCCATGTAATACAAACATGAATCACTGTATGTTCTCTGAAATTAATACCAACGTAGTGATTTGATTTGATTTGATTTTGAGTTTTGGTACTGCCCCTCTATTGTAATTGTCTCATCTCTCAACATGTGACAATATGTGTAACATGAACGCCACTTATTTTCAAGTGGACTTTGAGAAGGTCATAAAAAATACACATACCAAGTACGTACCAATCAGTTATTTGTTGCAACACTTCATATAATAGAAGAGAGAAAGTATGATAATCTTCTAAATAGCAAACACTATTGAAGTGGATATATTGTATAACAAGCATACAGACACCAACGTCCAGGTTCAAATTATTTTTCCCTTTGGCTCAACTGCTAACCCAGTGGAATGTAAAAGAAAACAATCATTACAAAAATTACACATGCTGGAAATTTGTGAACCATATAATTATTTTAAACACCATTGTCATTTATTACATTTCAAAACAATAGCAAAAGTAATGAACATTACCTATATTTCATATGAATAGTGAAGCTGCATTGTTGTTGACAAGTGGTGAACTGAGCCCTTCACAGTTGAATGTTTGAAATCAATGTAAAAGGGGCAAATAATCAAAATTTAATGATGAATATGTACCAGGGATATTACATTTGTAATGTGAATAAGCCTTACCCTATATAGAGTATAACTAGAAATAAAAGTAGAAATTGTAAAACTTTTTCATGTAGTTAAATTAAATATTAATTGCCATACTTCATTACACATCATTTAACTAATGAGCAAAAAATTCTTGTCAATACACAGCCTTACCTTTTTATGCTATTCCATTACAAAAGCCTCTTGGTACTTGATATCAAGACCAAACAGCACAGTAGGACAGTTAGATATTTACTTTGAGAGCAACATCAATGGCATTGTTGAATCTGATGTGAGCAAGGTGCCACAGACAGACAGACAGACAGACAGACAGACAGAGACAGACAGACAGAGACAGACAGACAGACAGACAGACAGACAGAGACACAGACACAGACAGACGACAGAGAGACAGACAGACGACAGAGAGACAGACAGACAGACAGACAGACAGACAGACAGACAGACAGACAGACAGACAGACAGACAGACACACAGACAGACACACAGACAGACACACACAGACGCTGATTTAAATTGTTTTCCCCAATGCCGTCGCGTTAGTTGACATTAAGAAAATATGTTCAGACATAATCAAAATATACTCAACTTTATAACATCTTATGTGGAGTAGAATCTGAAAATAAATGTAGCAAATTTAGTGATGAAAATTAGATATAATGTAATGCAGGCTAATCACATAAAAGAACTCTGTTAATAAATGCACCTGTACAAGCATCTAAGAATTTCAGAAAGTTGAAAACTCCAAAAATAATCTGTATAATTTGCTACATTTGTATTCACAAGTGTTTGTGAACAAGTACTAAATACTTTCAGTGAGTGACAAATTTCATCCTTGATGATAAAAAACTTGTCATCTGCTAAAACTTAGAACAATTACACAGGTGTAAATAGTTGAGCTATTACATGTGTACCGTATGGTCTGAATTGACAGTGACAAATAATTAACTTCTCTCTGTCACAATTTATATCTGTATGCACACGTTGGATGAGCAGTCACTCTTCTTCTTGTTATTCAGTATTATTCAAACTTGACAAATGTGTGGAAATATCAGAAATAGTGGCCTTAACTTTTTGACATGCTTGTACAGGTGAATTACAGAGTAGATGTCATATACAAAATGCAGCAAATATGTAAATAGTAAAAATAGTAAAGTCAATCATGTGACATGTCAACAGATATGATATGCATATTTCAACTCAATGTTAAAAATCCCAATTGCCCCCACACCACCTATAACCTTCATTCAGCAATTTGGTTGCTCATAACTTAACACAAACTGCCTCATGAAAACCATAATATGTCTGCATAACTTCCACACTAATAATTTCTTTCCACTTTGCATAAACATGGTCTAATAGTGTTCCACTTTCTGTAGTTGTTTGTGTTACATATTGTGTGTATCCTCTTCCTTCCATGATCTTCCTCACACCAGAACACAGAAGGAGATTTTCATTAAAATCACCAAGAATGATGTTACCACCAGGGATTTTTTCCAGTTCTGTTACCAAACACAATAGACTTTTCCTAAATGTATCAGCTTTGTATGATGAAGGTCTGTACACAACAGCGATAGCGAGTCTTGCATCAGTCACATAAAAAGCCAGATATTCTAAATTGCTCACAGGCAGATTCAGGAATTCAACAGTGTTTTCTGTTCTGGAATACACACATACTCCACCATGAGCTTGTTGTGCCAAGTCAGCTGTGTTCTCATTGAAATTATTATAAGATAGTGATCTGGACTTGTGCTGAAAGTTGTAATCATGTAGTTGCAATATATCAAGTGTATCAGTATTTGACAACCATGTTTCTGTCAAACAAATAAAGTCTGCATTTAAAAATTTGTTATGTTTCAAATCTTCAATGTGTGCATATATACCCTCTATGTTGTGAAGCATGATGGTATATGACGAATCTATATTTGATTTTTTTTCTGACAAGGTGATAAACTTGGGCATGGTTGAAACAGCGTCTTTGATCTTGTCATTGCAATATATCACAGATTCCTTGAATCCTCTGATAATTAGTCCATCTACTGTCTTCACGCGGCTCAATGCCACATAAGCTTGTCCTCCTGCAAACATTTTGTCCAATGTAACTACAGCTTTCTCCACAGTTATTCCTTGCACCTTGTGTACTGTGCATGCATAGGCAAGTTTTAAGGGAAATTGACGTCTAATACCGCCTCCATTGTTCACTCTATCTTCCTGGGGTTTTATCAATGTACTGTTCTTCGGTAATAAAGAAAATTCTTCTGATTGTTTTCGTACATTGTTTCCAATTTTCTCGTTGTCGAACACAACATATATACCAGAAGGAAAGTTTTCACCAGGAGTTAAGCATATATGGGCTACTGTGCCAAATACACCATTTACCAGACCATCTGATACATCAACGTTTTTAATTAACATCACACGAGCACCTATAGCCAAAGTGATTGACTTCGGTAAATTTGTATTGTAGACTTTAGCAAACTGCACATCCTGTTTCTCCATTTTTTTTGTTTTAGGATTTCTACCAAAGTCTTCTGCCTCAATACATACAGGGTCATTACATTTAAAGTGCAGCTTTGTGACATTGCATTCATCAACCTGTTTATTAGTGGCAAAAATATGAATTCCATCACTATCTTCACCAGTTTCACAGTCCTGAAGCATTTTAACAGATTCTGGTTCTAATTCCTCTACTCTTGTTCTTGTTCTAATGTTATTTAATGTTGCTACAAATTCCAAATTCTGTTGCCTTACCACATCAGTTAATTCAGCAATGGAGAAATAATCATTCCAAAGATCAACACCTTCACTGTTAACATACAAAGCTTTACCTTTCACAGGTGCTAACTGGTAAAAGTCACCAACAGCAATCACAGAAACACCACCAAATGGTGAATAGTCACGGGTTTGTTTTATCTGCCTCAATCTTCCATGCACATATCCAAGAAGCTTCTTATCAACCATTGAAATTTCATCAATAATGAGAATCTTAAGACTAGCCATTTTTGAACGCAGTGTGTTCATTTTCTCTTCTCCAAGTGGTTGATATGGTAATTTTGCATCAATCGCTATCGAAAAGGTACTATGTATTGTGCCTGCATTTATATTGAATGCGGCAACACCTGTTGGTGCTGTCAATAGAACAGATATGTCATCTGGATTTGGTAGAGCACGAGCAAGAATTCGTGAAGCTTCATAGTATATAGCCTTGACTAAATGAGATTTACCAGTACCTGCTCCACCAGTTAGAAACATGTAAAAAGGGTCTATGCTTTCACCATTAACTGTATTCAAGCACCATTCTCGGACCGTGTAAAATATGTCTAACTGCTGGTAATTTAAGGACCTCATCAATATGTTTGCATCATCTCTAGATATTCCACAATGCAGATATACATCAGAGGAACTACCATTTTCAGATTTTGGAAGCAAATCAGGAATTGAATCATCAATATCGCCATTCTCCGATAAAGAATCTGGTGGTGCATTTTCTTTACATTCTAATCTTTGCAACTCAGATTCTGAGTGAATTTGAGCCCATGCATCTTCCAAGGAAGGATGTTTTTCCATTATTTTCTCTGCTTCCTCAATTGCATCAGCTTCTTTCTCAAACAATGCCCTGTTTCTGTTCACAATGGCTTTGACAGTTTCAACTTTATTGACCCCGACTTTCACAGCACCATTTTCATAGAACTCTTCAAATGACTCAAAAGTTCTTGGTTTCAACTGAAAGTCAGCTCGATAAGGCAGGAAAAGTTGAAGAATACTTTGATAATGTTTTTCTGGATGTTTTGAGACAGAAAATCGAGGATACCTCACTACTGCCGGTTCTGTTCGAGATCTTTTCATCACGTAGCCAAGACCATTTTCTAAAGGAACAGCATTTTTTCCTTTTTTTGAAGCCTCTGATGTCGATAAAATACGATATTCAGAAACAAAACTTGCAAGACACAGGATATCAAAATAAAGATCTTTTGGTCTGTTTTTGTAACGATCAACCATACTTGTCATCCAAATATCATCTTTACTCAAGTTGCCACCTTTACATTTCTTTTGAAGAACTTCTAAAGGTAAACTCATTTTGATTGGATTTTCTCCAGTCGGAATAAAATGAACTTTTCTTGATCCTTCTTTTAACTTCAAATTACACACCCTATATACAGCTTCCTGAGCACCAAGCTCTCTGTTGTGAAGATATACACCTCCCAACTTTTTCATTGCTAATTGTGCATCCACATTTCCTTCATTTGAAGCTTCTCTCTGTGCATGATCCAATAATAATCCCATTTCTCTTTCAGCTTTTGAGATGTAACTGATAATGTAAACAATACAACTGTAAGCATCAACTATGAATTGTATGTCAATGTTTGCATTCCAGCATTGCAGAAGATCTTTATTATACTGGTTCACCCAAACAGCATTGGGTTGTCTTTGCAAAACTACACTGGTTTTCTTTGTCAATTTACTATAAGCCCTTTCAAAAACATCTTGAGATATTCCAATGTTGTTGAACAAGTCGTCTACTGTATAAAACTCAATTTCAGAATGTAAAAGTGCATTCCAAATCTTGGTCAAAATTGACTTTGCTTCAGCATTAGTCATTTCCTTTGGCAAAGGTGCTGCATCATGTTCATCACTTTCTATATCAATATCATCTACGTCCTCAGATTCAATATTATCCTTGTCATTATCCTCGCTACCATTAAGACCATTAGCTCGAGAGATGAATGTTCCTTTGGAAGGTGGACGTGGAAAATTGAACCGACATTCAGTACCTTGTTTTCTACAACTTTTAGAATGCCTTGTACTGTGTTTCTGAACACTATTCACAATTTCATATAGCTCTTCATCATGTTCCTGAGACGGTATTTCACAGGTTACATATTTATCTACAAACTCTGTCACCTGTTCATCAGGGTCTTTATCAATAGTAGGCGCATCTTCAACCCAAAATAGACAGTGAGTATGAGGTGAGCCACGCTGTTGAAACTCAACTCTATGAAAATAATCTTTAATCTTTCCAATAGGCTCTGCAGGTGATAAAATAATCTTTTTCAAAAAACAATGAAATCTACGGTCAAACATTCGGGCAGCTGTTACAGGATTCTTCTTCAATAGCGCACACTTTTCAGACCAATCAAGATCTTCAGCAAAACGACTATCACCTTCTTCTCGGAGAATACTTTCAATCATTTCAGGCCATCTCATGTCAGCTGATGAAAATGAGCAGAACCAAGTAGGTATGCCTAATTGTCTTATCATTGCAAATAGATCCTTCTGTGCACTCTGCCAAAAAGGTGGTGTACCTCGGATGGGTTTCATAAATTTATAACCTTCATCATATTCCAGAAGTTTTTTCAGTGACTGTGTATCTATCAAAGTCGATGCAGTGACACTTTTGTCACAAGCTTTACCAGAACCTTTTCGTAATGCAATCGACACATTAGAAATAACCTGCTGTACCTCTGATAAATACTGCGCATAAAATATAAAATCAGTATTTCTGGCAAATCTACCATCTGCATTCATTAAACGACCATGTAGATATCGTGCAAGTGTAATCCTTTCCTCACGCTTATCATGAAAAGTTGGTGACCCTGAAGGATACAATACAGGAAATGATTTAGCTTCATTGCCTTCATCTTCCAACATTTTTACTGGACTATTTCCCTCAGCAGGAGCAACACAAGCAATGTTATCAAAATGCTGATCAAGAACTTCCTGTGCTATGTCAACAGGTTGCAAACATGTATCATGAAACATTCCATGTCGCTCTTTCTCATGATCTTCATTGTCGTGTGATTCAGAATTTGAATTGGCAAGTGGTGATAAGCTATCATCTGCATCACATACTTCTTCCACCTCTTCATCAATTCTTGCTAGCGGATTTGTCCAAGTTTCATTGAAACGCACATTATTATACCACTTATTGTTGACATGCAGATATTCTAAAGCAGTTTTAATATGAGAATCATTGACAAACTGATATTGATAATGGCCTTTATATGACAATTTTCTCTTTAATTTTACTCTAATCATTTGATCATCCACCTCGCATCTTGGTAAAACAGATATCGCTTTATCGATGCTAGATGGAACGCAAACCACAGGTCCATGGACACCATTTTGACCACCTTTAGGTAAAGCCAACATCTTCATAAATGGAATATGCAAACAAATGAGGTGTTGTTCAAGTGAGTTTAAGCAGCATAATTCTTCAGGAATAGGATTCAGATGGAGGTTATTGGCAACTGCTTCAGCAGGCATATTCCCATTCAGAATTTTACGATGACAGGTATAACATATCCATAATTTTGTTTCAGAACTTCTAGAAGAGACACAATCATTATTGCATGTCATAGTACACTTATGAAGATAGTCTTCAGTAATACATTTCTCAGCAACACTTGACACACTATTTATTCTTCTTGAATACATTTCTTTTTTACATTCAAGAACTTGATTTTTGAAAAGACGACGATGGCATACAGAACAGACGTACTCTGGACCATCTTTAGTTTCACTACGGAATTCATTTATAACTGTATCTATGATTTTCTTCTTATTCATTTGTGATAACCTAAAAGCAGTCACTTTAGATTTAACTATTTCTTTGTGTGATTCATTATCTTTATATTTTTTAATACTGCGTGTC